TGCGTGCTTGTTATCTATGATTGGCTGAAGCTGGGGGTGGAATGTGGTGTTAAGACTCTGTTGGGTGTTCTGTCTGTTTCTCTCTCTTATACTTGTGGAAGCGATAAATAACTTAAAAAAAAAAAAGAGCAATTGAACCCAAATAGATAATCTAGATGAAATGAATAATTTTTTTTTTAGAAATAGTCAACTTATAAGGATGAATTTTAAAGAGAAAGAAGATCTGAAGAGACCCATAACCTGCAAGGAAATTAAAGTTGCTTCTACGATAGTGGTCAAGGTTGTTAAAACCCTTAGTTTTGGAATGGCCCAGTGCTAGTAGTAAAAACTCCAGGAAAATTAAGGAAGTTAGAGGTCTTTGCTTTCCATCAATGTTCAGGGGTCTTTCTTAGCCCTTACCTCATTTGTTGCCCTTGGGCTACTGTATGGTTGGTCAGGTTGAGTAATGGACAACTCTGAGAAGATACCATTCCTATCATAGTCCATGTGAACTGTACTCCCTGGGGTTGTTTATGGCTATAGACATGGGGTCTTTGAGCTCTCAACTAGTAAAGAATCATCAAACTTGGAGGATAAAAAAACAGAAAGGCTAATAAAAAGTTCTTTGAATTGTTTTGTGTTTTTTGGAATCAAGAAGGAAATGCTCATTTCTAGGTTTGGTCAAAGTCTTTAATCTTTATTCTCATTAAAATGTAAAGAAAAAGTCACTGTGACATCATGTGTAGTCTACCCTGATAATCAACAACCAGATAGATCATGGTCACCAAAAGATCAGAAAAAGGAGGATAGGAGAGGGGAACATCAGTTATGGGATAAGTGACTACCCTTTTCATGGTCTAGGTCTGTTTTTTAAATTATTTATTTATTTTTATTATTTTTTTTTTATTTCTCCCTTCCCTCTTTTCTTTCTTCCTTCTTTGTCAGAAGGAACATGCACTTGCAACAGGAAAATACAGACACAAAAAGAAAGGGAGAGAGAGAGAATCCCACAGCAGGGCATGGTCACTTCACAATCTTTTCTCCATTTCTTCATCCTGTTGGGATTTTGGGTACACATGTACACACATCTGTTCTGCTTTTCAAGCTCCTGGGGCTGGAATTTAGACTGTGGTCAGCCATGTGGTATCCTGATGCCTTAACCACTAGGCTATAGGGTCCGTCTTTCCTTCCTCCTTCCCTTCTTCCTCCCTTCCCTCTTCTTTCTTTCTGTCAAGAGATAGGCATCCTTGCAGGATTTCACCACTACAATATCACCCTCCAGCAAGCCTTCTAACCAGGCAGGATGATGGGCACACCTGTAATCATTCCTAGTTTGTTCAGGTCAATCCAGGATCCAAGCCCCTGGCCTTTCTATGTGGCTCCTGTATTGAGCAGTGGCACCCCACTGTTTAAGCCACTGTAGCTGGGCCTGTCTTTACATTTTTGTCTCTTGCGATAATAATGAAAATGACAGTTACTTTGATTTTTGTGATTCTAAGAAGGAAATTGGTCTGGCCAAATTGCAACTGTTTTTATCTGGAATAGTAGTTCTCAAAGAAGCCTCACAATGGATAGAGTAAAAATGTGAGTGTCAGAGTATTCCTCAAGAAGTCCAAGACTGGAAAAAGAACTCAAGAAGAAGCTGGAGAGTTTGCATCCAAGTTGCCTCCTTCTCATCATTCACTGGCCAAAAAAAAAAAAAAAGAGAAAAGATAAAAACAACTGTGTCCCCTTGAGGGCAATAAGGATGTCCCAGTGTTTCATTTGTGTGGGTCCTCAGGAGAAGGCAAAATTCATAAAAGGGAAGGGAGTAACTATTACAAAAAAGACCTATTTTCTTAAATAATAAATCTTCCAGAGACAGAAGTGGTTGAGAACTAGAAATTTATGCTTTCTTCTGCAGACAGGACGGTTGGATTCCACTGGCGGTTAGACATATCTCACCAGGGTGAGTGTGAGTGAGTCCCCCCATTTCAGTCCATCCTTCATGCCGTAGATGGCTGATTTATGTGTACTGAACAGATGAAGAGATGTCTTCTGGAAGTCACTTTACTGAGCATTTCATTCTGCATGGGGTTCCACCTGTGACAGGTCCCATGATTTCACTCTGATAAAATTACCATGAGAGGGAACATTACTCTCTGAAAAATTCATGACATTAAAAAAAAAAAGATCCATCTTGGTAACATTTTTCATGTCTCAAACTTTATGCCTTAGTCTCAGTTTCTAAGTGAGTTTTAATCATTTGCATTATGAAAAAATTCAGTCTTCATTGATAGATCTTATACTTTTAGTATCTTGATCATGTAATTATCCTTTCAGTAACAGAGCTTCCATATAGTAACCTTCCATTTATATGCCCCCTCCAAAGCCACTTCAAATTTCTTCCCATGTACTCCAATTCACCTTGATTTTGTTGTAATCACATCTGGGTCACAATTTTATCAGGGAGAATAAAATCAAAATATCACTTCAAAGAATAAGGAATAGTTAAGGTAAATTCAATGATTGAATAATGCTTCTGTAGGCTATTTGAGAATTCAAATATTAATATAACATTTTTATTGAGAGATCCATTATGAGTTCTATACCAGGAAATATATATATTTTTGAGAGTTTTTTGTTACAGGGCATGTGCGCTCACCAGAAAGAGAGAGTCAGAGGGACAGAAAGCAAGAAAGCACCCCCCGAAGGGATGGCCACACCGCAATCCCTTCTCCTCCATTCTCCCAGGATCTGGGCATGCACATACATGCACCCAGCCTGACTCGATCAGCTGATGAGAATCTAGCGACATAGTCATTACAATTGCGGGTCCAATAATAGGAAATTTTAATTACTTAATTTTAATTACTTAATTACTAAATTTTAATTACTTATTTTTAATTGCTGGAGGATTAGTCTGCTTTCCAGGGGTGGGGGTGGGGTGGGGAGGGGTAAGGGGCATAGGAGAGAGAATCACTTGTTCCTGGCTATAAGACTTATATTTAATATAGCTGGGATTTCATTTCAGCTCGTTGTGAATTCTAAATTAATTTTGCTAATACTGACCCTTAAGTACTTTTTTCTCTTAGTTTTATTAGTCTTTTGTATAAATCAAATTTTACTCTAATAGCTTCTACTAGTATGGGTTTTATTTTGTGGCCATTACTTTTATTACTATTTTTTAAAAAATTATATTAAGAGCACTTGAGATGTGCTATCTCAACAATTTATAAAGTGCAAATATAGTATTGCTCACTATAGGCAAAATGGTATACAACAGATCTCTAGAACTTACTCTTCTGTAACTGAAACTGTATGCTTTGAACGGCACCTGTCCATTTCCCCTTCTCCCTAGCCTCTGGAAACCACCAATCCACCATTCTACTCTCTACTTCTATAAACCCATTTTAGAGCCATTATGTAAATGGAATCATACGTTACATGCTCTTCTATGAGTGACTAATTTTATCTATTACAATGTACTCCTGATGCATTCATATCAGGATTTGATTGATTTTAAGACCAAATAATATTGTACTGTATGTGTATGCCACAGTTTTTTACATTCATTCACCCGTTGGTGGATATTCAAGTTGTTTACGTAGCCTGGCTATTGTGAACAGTGCTGCAATGATTATGAACATGCTAATATCTCTTTGAGACACTGACTTTGTTTCCTTTGGATATATATCCAGAAGTATGATTGCTGGATCATATGATAGTTTTATTTGTAATTTTTGGGGGGGACCTTTATAAGTTTTCTTTAGTAGTGACACTATTTTACATTCCCACCGAAAGTTTTCAAGTGTTCTCTTTTCTCCATAGCTTTGCCAACACTTAAAAAAAAATTAATTATAACTATCCTAGCAGGTGAGAGGTGATATTTTACTGTGGTTATGATGTGCGTTTCCCTGATGATTAGTTAGGTTGAGCATCTTTTCATATTTTGGCCACCTGTATGTCTTCTATGGTTAAATGTCTTTTCAAGTCCTTTGCCCATGTTCAGAAGGAATTATTGTTATTTTTGTTGCTTTGTTACTGAATTGTAGTGACTTTTCATTTAGAAAGCATTAAGATGTCAAGTCCTTTTAATTTCTTTTTCTCTCACTGTACTCTACATGCTTAAAATGAAAATTGAAGGAAAAATAAAAAATATAAAATATTTAGGAAAAAATGGAATGGTGGAGAACCTGTTCTAGCTAAAAAGTAAAGTGTGTGATGTCATTATAAAAAATAGTAACCAGGTTGGTGGAGAACCTGTTCTAACTAAAAAGTCAAGTGTGTGATGTCATTATAAAAAATAGTAACCTAGCAAATCTTGTGATGAAACCGAAACAGTGTAGCAAATGTGAATGAAGACTTCACAGATGATAATTTGAATCAAATTAATACAATTCAATATTATTATTATTATTTCCAAAGCACATCCTACATGTGCTTGTAAACTGGGAATTGTGGCATTGATGTCCAAGAACTTATTAGCTTTCTTTCATTTTATAGACTTGTATTTCTAATTCAATAGTATAACTTGCACATTTTACTTTCATAATTGTTTCTCCAAAGCTTCTGAAAAAAACTTTCTCTGAGGTCAATCTTTCCTGACACTCAAACAGTATAACAGTAGTTCTCAAAAGCTAGATAATGTCTTTCTCACGCCAGAATCATGTACAGGTTTTTTTTTTTTCTTTTGTTCAAGGGCTTCCTCAAGTTTATTAGTTGTACTTAAGTTAAATAAAGGTGAACACGTAAGGATGTGTATAGTGATTCATCTCTCTTTTTCTCTTACAGGCTAAAATAGAAATGAAATGCTCTGGAGTAATTATTTAAAGTAAAATGTTCAATGGTGTTTTTGTATTTGACTTCCAGCTATGCTATTTTGATAAACATTCTCCACATTGGCTAAATAGTAATATTTAATCTATTTCTTACCTATAATACCACCAGTTCTAATGAGAATTTGAAGTTTTTTGGAGAGTAGATACGAGACCCAACATGTAGTTCTGATTATGTCTGTGCACGTTACAGGTCAGAGAGAAATGCATACTTTACAAATTAATAATAATGTCACTGCTACCATTCAGGAATTCATCCTCCTGGGTTTCCTGTGTAGCCAAGAAGTAGAAATTCTCCTTTTTGTTTTGTTTTCTATTATCTACATCTTGACCTTGTTGGGCAATGGTGCTATCATCTGTGCTGTGTGGTGGGACCAGCAACTTCACACTCCCATGTACACCTTACTGGCCAACTTCTCATTCCTGGAGATCTGCTACATCAATTCTAACGTGCCCAATATGTTGTTCAACTTTCTCTCCAAGACCAAGACCATCTCCTATAATGGCTGCATCCTACAATTCTACATCTTCCTTTCTCTTTGTGCTACCGAACTCTTCTTCCTGGCCCTGATGGCATTTGATAGGTATATCGCTATTTGCCATCCACTACACTATCCCACCATGATGACTAAGAAAGTCTGTGGAATTCTTGTGTCTGCCTGTTGGGTGGGTGGCTTCCTCTGGTTAGTGACACCGGCTACCCTTGTCTCCCAAGTTCCATTTTGTGGTTCAAATATCATCGATCACTACCTCTGTGATCTGGGGGCAATGCTGGCCATCTCATGTGTCCCTGTCCCCAAGACAACTCTGACATGTAGCACTTTCAGTGCTGTGATAATGCTCATCACTTTATTTTACATCCTTGCATCCTACACTCTGGTCCTTCGAGCTGTGGTTCAGGTTCCTAAAGGTTCAGGCAGGAAAAAAGCCTTCTCCACATGTGCCTCCCACCTGGTAGTGGTGTCTCTATTTTATGGCTCAATCCTAGTGATGTATGTAAGCCCAGGGACAGCCAACCAGCCTGGGCTGCAGAAGTTTGTGACCATGTTGTATTCAATTGCTACTCCACTTTTAAATCCTTTGATCTACAGTCTCAGGAATAGGGAGATGAAGGTTGCCCTAAGGAAAGTTATGTGTAAAGTTTAAAAATTATTCCTGAGTGGGAGACATCTGGGTGATGTAAAATTCCCCTTGAGTCCCATTGTAAAGAGTAAAGAAAAACTAAGCTTACAACCAAGAAAAGGTACTAGACAATAATAATGTTACTTATGAATATTTGTCAGAAAGAGTTATTTTTGCTATATTCTTCTTCATTTCCTTGTCTTATGAAAGGGACCAGTGGTAATTTGCAGCATAAAGGTCAATTGAGACTCTGTTTTCACTTCAGCAAATCAAAACTTATTTTCAGAGTTTGAAAGGGGGTATTCCCTGAGGTTTTACTCAGAGCACATGTAAAAGTATTTGTAAGAATGTGTGATTTGTAAGATGTAAATGATGTATAGTGATTAAATGTATGAATTACATATATATATACATATATATATATGTGTGAATAATCTGGTTAACAGCAGATCTAGTGTGTACTGAAGGGTCATATATTCATTATATGCCCATATTGAACCAGAGAGAGTGGGCTAGGTATTGCTCTGATGATTTGTGAGTAGTTAATGCACCCCCCACCCCAGGTCTTTATTGGGTGTGGTCATTAGCCTTGTGTTTGAGGATGTGGCCTATAGGTTTGAAAGGTAACACAGGTCATATTGAATGGAAAGTGGAGATTAAACTTACAGATAAACACTGGCATATATCATTATGGTGCAGCCAAAGAACAGGGTAGCTGCTATCATTTAAGAGATTCAGTCTGAAGAACTAGACCAGCAGCACAGTGTGAAAAGTGAGGTATTGGTGCTAAAAATAGGGAGGAAGGTAATGGTCATGAAGAAAGTATTGAAATCTCTTTGGAGGGAAATGTGGCTGGAATTTAAAATATTTACAGTCTATGATTCAGCATTTTCATTTTTCAGTAATATGTTGAAAATAATTTCTGTATACATTAATAGCCTTTGGGCATTGTTTGTCATTCCCAATCTTGGAAACAAACAAATGTCTGCTAATAAGTGACAGTTTAGTAATGCATGATATGCATATTCAGAGAATGAAAACTACTCATCCATTAAGAAGAATTAGGATAGGTATGTATAGTCTGATAAGAATCAATATCAGAAAAATAGTACAAGTGAAATAAGCACAGAAAAATGTGGCTGGTATGCTATCATTTGTTTAAAACATGTTTATATGCATATTTGTAAATGCACATATTCTCTGTGGTATAGTAACAGTGGTTCTCTTTCAGGAGACTTAGTTTCTTGGGCAGGAGATAGAGTTATTTTTATTCTCTAAGTTCTGTTTGATATTTACTTATTTATGCATTTATGTTATGTGGATGGGTTACTTAAATAAAGGAAATCTTTGGAGGCAGAGCAAATGTAGCATGTTTGACTTTACAGCATCACCAATAGCGTGTCACAGGAAAGAGAGTTATTAATGACTGACGCACACTAAGGTAGAAGACTATGCCTCCATATTTTCTTTATTTTTTCCCCCCTCAACTATCAGAGATTTTTATTCTTTGGTCTAAATGGAGTCTCTTTATTTATGTTATGCACCCTGTCTTCTACCACAGTATTTGAGAGTGTACACCTTTGCTACCCAATTTTGCTTTATCTTCCAGTCCCCTTTCTCTGTTATCTCAACCATTTTATCTTATAAAAAGAAAGACATGAGCATGCCCTGTTTGATCTAATATACCTCTTCAGTTTCTAACCTCTCTATACTCTCTTTCATGGCCAAACTCCATGCCTACACTTGTTCTCTTTCTCAATATCTCATTCATGCCTCAACTTATAGTGGTCTGGCTTCCTTCCCTGCAACCTTACTGAAAAATTTCCGAAGTCATCAGTGATTTTGATTTACCTGAATACATGATCACTTGTAAATTTTTTAAAAAGTAATTATTTATTAAATTTTATTCATTCATTCATTCATTTACTTTTAATTTGCCAGAGAGAGAGATAGAGAGAGAGATAGAGAGAGATAGATATATTTTAATTTGGCCAGAGAGAGAGAGAGAAGGGAAATGAGAAAGCAAGCCACCAGGTCTGGGACTTGAACCGTGGTCAGCCATGGGGGAGTGTCCAGCGCTTTAACCACCATGCCACCTGCTAGTCCCCACTTAAAATTTTTTAACTTGTTTAACTTTTTAGGAGTATTGGACCAAGTTGCTTGATCACTCAGAAAATTTCATTTTCTTTGCTTTTATTGTAGTACATTATTCTATCTCTGTATTTATTTCTTTCAATTTTCTGCTCCTCTACCTATGCCTTATATCTTTATCGATGCTTATTACAACATTGTTGATACCTTGACTTCAGACTCTTCTCCTTTCTCATACATACTCCTTCTGCAGTCTTAGGTTCAAATATTCTTTCTTTTTTTTTTTGGAGAGGGTTTTTTTTTTTTTTTTTTTTTT